ATGCATTTTCCGATCCAAAGAAAATAACTAAATCACATGTCCTAGTCGAGAATACTCTTATTAGAATTGATGTCCCGATAGGACAATCTATTAATGATATAACGAATGAATCTAAAGGACACCCGAAGTGTGGAAGATCGATAAGTTTTAAAAATAAAAATCCTCAAAAGAAAAAAAGGAAAAATAATTAAGATAAAACTATAAAAGAGACAGATTAAATGGTCTAAGATACTTTTAGTAACAAGCTTCCAAAAGAAGACTAGATGATTGAGAAAAATTAAGAAATTTTGATAAATTAAGTTAATACAAGAAGAAAATGAGACCGAAAAGAAATATTTATTGATAACATTTTTATATATAATATTGTAATTGATATTTTGATTAAAGATCGTGAACCTAAATCTATTGAAGAACGTCGACGCAAAGATGATTGGCCTAAATGGAAGGTAGATCCAATCCAAACAAACTTAATTCTCTCACGAAACGAGTAGTTTTTGGATTCATAGCTAAAACACCGGAAGATACTTAGGTAGTAGGATACAAATGGGTATTTGTGCAAAAATAAAAGTAAAAAAAAAAGAAAATTATGAGATATAAAGCAAGACTTGTAGCATAAAGACCTAACATTAACTATAAGAAAACACATTCTCCTATAACATATGTAATTAAATTTTATTATCTTATTAGCTTTGACAAAATATGAAAAACTTCATATGCGTTTAATGGATTGGTCACAACTTATTTATATGGTTCACTTGATAATGATATCCATATGAAAGTCTTAAAATGACTTAAAATGCCCGATGCATGTAATAGACATTCCCGAGAGATATTTTCAATTACATTACAAGATCTCTATATTGATTTAAACAATATAGCGGATATGGTGTAATCGTCTTACCGAGTTTTTGTTGAAAGAAGGTTATAAAAATAACTCCATTTGTCCATATGTCGTTATAAAGAAATTCAAAAAAGGGTTTGTTTTAATAGTCGTATATATTGATGATTTAAATATAATTGAAACTCCTAAAGAAATTTTAAGTGCCACAAGTTATTTAAAAAGAGAATTTGACATGAAAGACCTTGAAAAAACAAAATTTTATACGAGTTTGAACACTTAAAGGATGGAATTTTTATTCATTTGTCAATATATTTTAAAAAAGTATTACAATGATTTTATATGACTAATCTAATGGTAGTTTGTTCATTTAATGTCCATAAGGATTCTTTTTGACCTCGAGAAGATAATGAAGAGCTTCTTGATCTTGAAGTACCATATCTTAGTGTAATTGGTGCATTAATGTATCTTCCTAATAACACCCGACATGACATTGTATTTTTTGTAAATTTATTAGAAAGATATAGTTATACTTCAATACGGAGATATTGAAATGAAATTAAACATATATTACGTTATCTCTAAGGAACACTTAATTTGAGCTTATTTTACTTTAATAAATAAAAAATAGGATTAATTGGCTATGTAGATACATATTATTTATCTGATCTATACAAAACTTGATTACAAACTCGGTTATATATTTACATATGGTGATATAGCTCTATCATGACATTTTATAAAACAAACTATAATTTTCACATCTTCAAATCATGTAGAAATACTAGCAATTCATAAGAGAAGTTGAGAATATGTTTACTTAAAATCAATGATCTATCATATTGAAGAGATATGCGGTTTATCCACTAGTAAGGAAATTTTAATAATATTATATGAAGATAATATTGCTTTAATAGCTCAATTAAAAGAAGGATATATCAAATATGACGAGAATAAAACATATATCATCAAAATTATTTTTCACACATGATGTTCAATGGAGTGGTGATATTAATGTTCAACAAATTCGATCAAGTGACAATCCATCGGAATTGTTCACTAAGACATTACCTACTACAACTTTTGAGAAGATGATTCACAAGATTAGAATGTATTGTCTTAGAGATCTTGAATAATGTTTTTAACGGGAGGAGCATAATATGAAGATTAATGTTTTCTTCATTATATTTTTTTTCCACTAGGTTTTTCCTAGTATGGTTTTAACAAGACATGTTTCTTGTATGATGGACATTCAAGAAGGAGTGTTATAAAATAATGAATGTTCATATGTATTTTATATTCTTATTACTCATAATTATTAATGTGATTCAATTCACAATTTAATATGAGAAATCGAAATGGTGATGTAATTTATTCAATAATTTATGTACTTTTAATTATTTATAGTCCCTTCCAATTCTCTTTTTAATTTTGAAGCTTATAAATAGACTTATTATTTATTAGCTTGTGTACAAGTGTTTTTTTAAAGATTGAAAGAATTGTTTTGGAGTTGCTACACTTGTATTCACTTTCTTTCATAGTGAAATCATTTACCTATCATCTTTCTCTTATATTCTTTTTACCATTATCATAATATTATTTTATGATTATAATTATTTTTTTAACAAATAATTAATACTTAATTTTTTTAAAAGGACTAATTAATTACAAAACCAACCTGAAGGTTGCTGTCATCTAGAAAAGTGCAAATGCATGCAGTTCGCCAGGTCCCTCTATTTGTGTGTGGGTACTCTCATTCATCAGCCCTTCTGAATTTTGAAATAGCCTTTGGCTCCAGTGAAAAAGATGACAGGGTGGAATGATTCTTGAGGAATTAAAGCTTGTTCACGCTGGTGATTATTGCCTTGAAATGCTTCAAAGATGCTATTTTCTCCTTTGAACAGCTAATAACTACAATTCTTGGCATTCTTCTATGAGATGAATTTAAATAATAACTTAATGAATTCTATAAGAAAAAGCTTTATAATATATGCTAATATTTTAGGTTTTTCATATATTGACGGATGACACAGAACTTTTATTTGACTAGATTAAGATTTTTTAATCTAATTTTGCACATGATATTATGTATGTGTCTATCTCACTGTCAGAATTTAATGAATTCTAAACCTTTAATTACTACTTATAAATTTAAAACAAAAAGCATAACACATGGACAAATATTTCTTACATCTTTTACGCTTTACAGTCTAGATTTAATTTTTATTTTTTCATTATTTTTTTTTGGTCTTTGATGAAAAAAAGAAGGAAATTTTATTGTAATTAAAAAACTAATTAGAAATAGTCATAAAACAAAACAATAAGCTATACAGAACTTGTCAAAAACTAGGATGGACCTCATTGGCTCCATTCCTATGAGGATAAAGATAGGATTGATGTTACTATGTCAGGGTCCATGCAATTAAATTGCTGCTCTTTTAAGCTTCCTGCAAATTAAATTCATGTTTTGAAGAGTCTATGCTTCACTGAGTCAAAAATAAGCTGCACAATCTCTGTCACGATGCCTGATTTGCTACAATGCCATCCTTGGCTCCTATTTCCTTCCCTCCATGTCTGATAGATTGATTAAACCCCACCAAGCCAGTAGAAACAACCTAGATAAAAACTTTCTTGGGTAGGCAATTCTCAGCTCAAATAAACGTCATGATTCCAGCATCCAACAGTTTCTAGACTTCTTCATGTATAATTCTCTCCCTTCTTCTTATTCATTGTCTTCATCTTCCATCCATATTTCCGCCCATATCCATTGGAAATGTATTTGTTGGTATGACCAATAGTATATACCCAATTTTGGGGTGAAGAAATAGTTCAGGGCTCTTGCTCAGTCAATCTTGCCAGGTCCAACCAGTATCAGTTGTGGTTAGCTTTCAATCTCAATTTTCAATAATTTCTATGGGTTTAATGGAAAAAATTGCCACTAAATTATTGAATTATGATAATTTAAGGTCTATATTATTGATTTAGAATATCTGAAGTCTAAACTATTAATTTCTTAAAAAATTTAATCATTTTTTGTTATTTCTTATGGTCAAAGTATTGATCATTAATTGAAATATTTAAAATTACGTCATTTTAAGTATTTGAGATTTTTATTTAGAATTTAAATTAATTTTGAAAAAAATAATAATTCAACTTTTTAAAACTAGATGGGTCCATTGCATTAACAACAAAAGTAAGATCTATAAACAAAAAAAATCATCTAAACTACCTTCAAGCTAAATATTATTAAATGTTTTTTTAAAATTAATTTTAATTCTTTAAAAAAAATTAATAATACATTTTTTTACGAAATGGATTCATTTCACATAATTAATTATCCAACAACAAAAGTCAAATCCATAAATAATAAAATCATTTAAACTTCCTTAAAGCTAACTATTATTAAAAAAATGAATTTTTTTTTAAAAAAGAACCATCAATATTTTGGCTATTAGAAATAATAGAAAAGAATAAAATTTACTTAAAAACTAATAGTTTGAGATTCAAATAGCCTAAATTCATAGTATATGTCTTATTTTACTCAACTCTAATAATTTAAAAATAATTTTATCATTAAATCATATTTTAGTTAACGAGTTAATGTTTTAATAGTTAAAAATTATATATAAAAAATGATAATATTTATCCAGAAATAATAATTTAAAATTGAAATAACCCAAATTAATAATATTGGTTTTAAATTTTCATACCCTAATAATTTTGGACTAATTTTTACCCTTGAATCAATTTCTGTGGTGGTTACAAGTAGGACTTTTCTTTTTATCCCTTTAGTAATAAATTAATAATTGTAGTTGTGCCATCTGGTTTCTTCCCATAAGACTAGAACAAAAGTAAAGAACAAAAATCAGCACCATTTCCACGTCTAAATAATGACCAAAGTAGAAAACAATGCGTGTTTTTGTTCCCACTCCCAGCTGGCCAGCCTCTTTCTCACGTTCCCCACTTGCTCCGGTCAACACAACAATATACTCTTCTTTTACACACTTTTGACCGTCCACTCTTGTACTTTACTCCTACTCTCTTCTCCAATCTTGTCCTATATATAGCCTTATCTCCCCCTCTCCAATGGCCTAAGAGATTAACTAGAAAGAAACACTAACACAATTGCTAGCTGATCAAATTTGAAACCATACAAAATAATATGGGAAACCGCACTTCCTGCTGTGCTATTACCTTCTCAAGAAAACCTAAGACTGCAAAACTTATTGATTCTAAGGGAAACTTAAGGCAAGTAAGTCCCCCAGTAAAAGCTGCAGAGCTCATGCTTGAAGAACCTGGCCATGTCATAGCTCTAGTGGATGAGCTGAAGCAAAGGAGTCGTATAATAGCCATGCGAGCTGATGATGAGCTTTTGCCTGGAAAGGTGTACTTGTTGGTTCCTTTAAGTAAGGTAAGCTGTAAAATTTCTGCGTCGGAGTTGGCAACCATAGAGTCTACCATCGCTGCTTCTGCGAAAAGGTCCAGTAAGAAGAGAAGTCGTGGTGCTAAGGTTTTGCCTGCTATGGCTGTGGACTTGAGGGAGGAGGAGGGATCAGAGGGTGAGGTTAAGGTTTTGGAAGGAAATGATACGAGCGCTACCGGTTACCAGTTAGGGAATTATAGGCCATGGTCTCCGGCGTTGGAGCCGATATCCGAGGAGTTTTGATTCAAGATGAATTTTTTTTTTTTTTTTTGGAAAAAATTTCCTCTTGGGTATAGGAAAGGGAAGAGAGTTCCCAAATTATACTGTCCACTTTTTTTTTTTTTTTTGGTAGGGAAATTATATTTTCCATTTGAGAGATGCAAGGATAGTGCTACTCATCGAGAAGTAAGGAAATCGTGCATATGGTTTTCTAAAATGTAGTAGTAATTAAAAAGTCAATTAATTTGTTAATTTCGTTACTCTTTCTTTTTATATTTTCTGTACTCCTTCTCAGTTTCTCTCGTGTACATGAGATTATTAATTAATGGTTTCGTATTCAAGTATATATCTTTTCAAATTACGAACAACATTGAAGGGGGTTGTTTTCGTTTGATAAAAAGTGAAATTCAATTTTTTTATTAGTTAATAATTAATTATAATTATTTATTAGTGGTATCATCTTTGAACTGATTTGATTTAAGAAGCAGTCCAATTGTTCAAAAACTAGACATGTTTTGATATTAGTTTAATATGAAAAGTGATAGAATTGGTTTCAAATAATTAATTCAAAAACCAAGAATAATTTATTATCTATAAATATAAAAAAAATTTCTTAAATTATGAGTAATATTAAAAAAAATACAGAAAATAAACTAACTACTCTTATTTAAATTATCTCCTAACCCGTTTACATGTTAATAACACATAAGATTATTATCTAGCATTAATAAAAATACAGGAAAGTGTTTTTTTTGTTTTTTGTTTTTTTGAGGGAGGATCATTGGGTTTGGTATGGGCCTTTAAAAGAATGAAGAAGGAAAAGAGAAGAATTGCAGAGACTTTCAGAGAAACAAAGAAGAGGAAGAATGATGAAAATTTGCTCTTTTGTATTAACTTTAGAATCAATGAAAACAATATTTCATACACCTTTTATACTAACATTTTAATCGACTAAACTGATTAATTTAATTACCTAACTAACATAACTAACAATTAGTTAACAATTTGTTAAACTAACAAACTAACTAATTCAATTATCTTTTAATAACTAACTTCTCCTCTTACATTCCCCTTAAGATAAGTAGTAGCAAATATATTGATGATGTTCATCTTGTTTAAGAGAAGTTGAAATTGCACTTGGATGCGGACTTTAAGGATGTACGCAATTTGTGCTTGTGTTAAAATGGATTACGGCTTGATGATTCGTTGCCAAGGCTTTCTCTATCATAAAATGACAATCAATCTCTATGTGTTTCGCTCTTTCATGAAACACTCGGATTCCTATAAATATGTAGAGTGACATATTATCACAATATAAAGGTGTTAGTTGAATACTTGAATGTCAAAAATCTAACAACGATGACAATAACCAAACAATTTCATAAGTTGTAGAAGCCATTGACCTATACTCGCTTCTATTGAACTTCGGCCACCAACAACTATTTCTTTGATTTCCGACTAACCGGTGAACTCCCCAAGAAAATGCAATATCTAGTCACTAATTTCTTTGTATCTAGGCGACCTACCCAATCACTCGTCCGAGTAAACCTTTATATGTATCTCCGAATCTATTGGAAATAACAAACCTTGACGTAGAGCATTCTTCAAATATCTTAACACATTATGCTCTGTTTGTATGTGTTGTCATGTAGGCTTAACAAGAAATTGAGATAACAAATGTGTTGCATAGACTATATCGAGTTAAGTAAATATGAGATAAAGCGAGTTTTTCAACCAATTTTCTATATGCAATATAATCTACTAATTCGGTATTACCTACCTTGGACGAGTTTATGATGTTGATCCATAGGTGTGGAAATTGGTTTAAAAACCATCAAAACCATACTCCTTCAACAAATCCATAGTGTAACACCCATAACCAAGGACTTAAAAGGTTGAGAATATTACCATCGTCAACCCACATTCAAAGTGCAATGAATGTAAGCTAACAAGGCACTCGTGACTTAATCTTTATGTCTAAAGTGAAATCTATGTTTTAAAAATCTAATAGTAGCCGAGTAGGTCCTATACTTTAACTTAAAAGATGTTATAAATTTTTCTTGTTTGATCGATTTACTCGGATACTTGAAACTTGGATTCGAGGTTATTTGCTAGTTCAAATCTTTTCTTTACTAACTAGTGTAATTTATTAAGATGTAGTTCCTTATTATCAATTATTATGATATTACTTATTCTCTTTCATTTTTACTATTCTTTTCATTTAACGATTAATTAAGAAATTCTCCCGAATATTCAAGGATGCTAGCATGCAATGGGCAATTTAAAGAAACTACACTACTATTAGTACATTATCAATTTTACTATCGGTATTACGGTTCATACGAGTTACTAATTTACATATAAAACTAAGTATGTCCACCTAGATCCCGAAGCTCCATCCAAGGTATAACCGTCCGTGCACTCCTCGAAAATCAGCTCCTTAGAGAAGTAAGCCATAGTAGCTTATTAATCTACACCACAAGGAACTATATGAGCTACAACCCGGTAAGTTACATATACATGTAGTGTACGTGCATGTATATGCATGTATAACAGATCGATATATGCATAATAACTCCTTTTTCTCATGTCATAAACCATTTAATAAATGGTCCGAAAATCCTTTTTCTATCTTTGAATATGTCCCATTTACGTACTTCGGGGTTTTCATAACATATGTCCGGCGAACCGGACCCATCCACGGACGCGTCCTACCGAGCCTCTAAAAGTGCACGTACGCACTTGTCCGACCTTGAACCATTACCATTACCATATGGAAAACTCATGAAGTCCATTCTCATAAAAATCCTTAAAGTCATGAAAATCCTTTTCTTTAAAATACTTCCAATCGCTATCGAAACTCATAGCATAAAATACGTTTTCATGACTTAAAACATTATTCATGAGTTTTGGCATGTATATGCATTTTGAATGACGATGCATGCTAACAATGATACTCAAGTACATGTCCTAAATGGTCTTGTAACCATGTTATGAAAACATGAATAAAATCGAACGAGCATAACGACATAAATAACATCAATCCGTATCAAGCGAGTACAATCATCATTGGCGCGTCGATTACCATAACCACAATTCTCATTACCAATCACAACTCAAGCATAACCATCATTCATTAATTATGACATCACATACATTATTAGAAAGAAAATAAAATCATAAAACAAGAGTAAATAAACAATTATATTTCATTTTAGTTTCATTGATTTATTTTAACATTTCTAAGTTATTTCCCTTATGCTCCTAACTACCCTTTCGCATCTAACATTTACCAAATTAGGTAATCCATGTTCTAACTTAATTAAGAATTATTTCATTGATTACGTAGTCCAATTTTGGTTTGGGCCTTAATAGGCCTAAGGTCTAATTTTTCCTAAATCAATTTTTCTTTAGATTTTCATGAACACTTTTATTCTAAACCATCCCTTTTATATTATCTTGAGCATAAATGAACTAATTTAGGGTATAGAGCTTAAAGAGTGACTTTTAAGTGATTAGTGAATTACACGGGCATAGACACACTCGTGTGAGAGGCCGTGTAACTTTCTGCCTTCAAAAAAACACATTTCTTCATTACACGAGCAAGGATACACCCATGTGAGAGGCCATGTAACTCTCTACCTTCAAGAAAAATATATTTCTTCATTACACGAGCAAGGACACGCCCGTGTGGGAGGCCGTGTAACTCTCCGCCTCCAAGAAAAACACATTTCTTCATTACACATTTTCTTCAATTTTTAGTAAATTTTCCATTTCTACTCATCAAAACATGCTTATTCAAGTGTGAATGACCCATCAAACCAGAATCAATTTGCTTTGAACTCAACCTCTAATTTGCTTAGTTTAGGCCAAATATAATTTCTAACAATTAATGGATTTTTCTTGAATTAAAGTATAATTTTTCATTTCTAAACATTAATCCATACTCAAATAAGTGAGAATCAAGTGCCAAAACACCAATTAAATGAGAGAATTCAAAACCCCCAAATTTGGTTCATTAACAACCCTAACCCTAATTTTTCTCAATTGAGCAATTAAATCAAATCAAGTAATTAAACATGAAATTGATTTGAAATTAAGCATATTTGTGGTGTAGGTGAGGTTAACTTATTTGTTTGAGCTCCGATTAGACTCTAAAAAGGTAGATTGGTGAAGGATTTCTCTTCCTCCTCTTTTCTCCTAAATTTTTGAATTTGATCTTCAAATTTTTCCCTTCAGATTTTCAGCTTCCCACTTAAAATTAAAGCTTCTTCCACTCGATTAGAGATGGATAGAATTTATTAAAAAAAATTTGGGTGATTTTTAAGTGAAACTTTTGTAAGAGTTTTCTTTGTTTTTTTCAAGTTTTCCTCTCCTTTTTATTTTTCTAAAAACCTTATTTATATGAAATTTTTTGGAATCATCGAATCCATCTCCACCCTTAATGTGGGAAAATCTTAGCTATTAATTCAATTTCTAATCATGCATTTGTATTTTTCTTAATTTTTAGCCATTTATTCACCTTTTTATTTAACCCTTCCACCATCCTTATTTTTAGCCATAATTTTTACTGGAAGTCAAAATTAATTAATTCTCTAGGTCGACTAAATTTAGCGGGAAAATAACAAATTTTGGTCCTTCAAGTTTCTAGACTTTTCCATAGCCCATTCTTTATTAAGTCCCTCTTTTATGCAAAAACTCACTTCTAATTTTTCCTTTTTAGTTTTTAGGAATAATTTTTAACCCTTAAAATTTCAAAATAATTTAATTTGGATTATTAGACTTTTAATTTTATGTAATCGAGTCCCTAATTTTATGCAATTTAGTCCCTACTTTTAAAATACCATTCTATACTTTTCAAAAATCAATTTTATTTCTAGAATAAATTAAAAGATTCATTAAAGGAGTTTTCTTTAAATTTTCATAATTGTTTTCCCTAATTTGAGCCTTCAATTTATTTATTTAGTGCGAAAATTACACTATTTCCTATAAACAATATTCCCTATACTTAGTAAAATTAATTT